ATATTACTAACTTTCTATTCTGCTATAGATATTGATTAAATAAAAAATGTAGGCCTTACTGGCGTCTTTAGGTTATCTAACTCAAAATGTGCTCATTTCAAGACACAAGAATAAAAACTTCACTTTAGGTCGGTATTGACTGTGGCAGATATTTGCAGGTTATGCCACAAAACAAACAAGATAAAGTAGGCCTTGCGTTCTTCCATATTATGTAGGCACGTTGGATGCATATTTTCAACAATTTTTTAATGAGATGTTATAGTGTTCCTACATAAGGTGCCTAATAAGAGTGAAAACAAACGAAATTAGATTTGTTTGGCTCCCCAGTCGTCCTCATACGATCTAGTCGGATTTTCATGACCGCTATGCGTTATTGTCGACGCTTTTTGCAAGCCGCACCCCCGCCCCCACACCCTGACAAAAGAGCGTAACTGGTAATACACTTCGTTTCATCTCGTTGGTATCGCTTTTGTTTTAGCGATTAACGCCTCTTGGTTATTGGCATTAGGAGTGTATTCTCAAATAGGCAATAGAGGAACAATCATTTGAATGTGTTAATAATTCTATATCCATATGCTTCGTCCTTTTTTTATCCTTACGCAGGTGCTCAAAGAAGCCAAAGACTATTTCGGCAAAACGTGGAAACGAAATCTCGTTTTCGCAGTTGCGCCTTTCGTCACGAACTGTCACGTCTACAATAAAACAGCCGTTTACAACTGTACACGAAGCTACTACAGCGAATTCTGCAAGCATGCCTCGCGTGGCATGCTTATCGAAGGCACAATGCGATATGGAGCTGAGAGCGATTGTTTCAGGTATATAGAGCAGGTGTAACTAGAGTATATGTGTTGTAGCTTAGAAATAGTAGATTGATCAATTGGCATTGTCCTATAGTCAGATATTTCACTAAAGACATTTTTCTATTTATGCTGTAAAGCGTTCTTCAAACGCCCGCGTCGACGTCACCACCGGATAATGCTTCACATGTTCCAGCTAGTGCATTGATTTAAATTATGTCGAAGGCTTGCTCTAGATGTAAAAATGGCCGGTAGGAAACCGGTCTACGAAACTAGGCTCTAGTTTCCTGTTTGCTTTAAATAGAATGTCATTTGTGTCCCAACTGAAACGTCGAGTTTCGCGCCCCGTTCGAATGCTCGACGACAACAGCAAACCTAGCAAAAATAAAGAACGAGCTTTCTGACACGCATAGCTAAAATTACTCTATACCTTGCTCATTGTTGTTGTATTTATTACCAAAAACAAATCTGTGATTCTTACATTGACTATCATCCACATTACGTCACCAGCATTCAAAGGATGTACATGAAGATATAAATGTCCTTCGCTTACTAGGAGAGGACCTTGTGGAAGACTTCTATCGTCCTAACTGTAGTGATAGTGCGCGTTACTAGTCCGCTACCCATTCGCCGCGCGGCTATAAAATACATGTAGAAATCGTGGCTCATTGGTTTTCTATCCCGTTCTTTGCTGCTGCTGCTGCTGCCTTTTTTTTTTCTTTATTTCGTTATCGTTCCTTTGTTGATTCTGTCGCACTCACATTGCCAATTGTCCACACCGTGACAACGGTAGCAACAGGCAGCAGCTTCGGGAAGTTCTTCTCGTAATATCGGCGCACGCAGCGGTATTATTAGTGTCCCGAAATCTCATTGGTGACAAGGATCTATTTATGAATATTTAAGCCAGTGGCAGTTATGCACCTGGTGATGCCTTTGACGCCGCTAACTACTTCATGATTACTGGTGTTCTGTCGTCCGCTATTCTAACGCCACCGCAATCAGCTTGGCTGGAGTTTTGTCCCCGCTGCACTAAACTTACGAGACCCTTCACTGTTTGTGTACTATCCAGTCAACTATGTCCTACGCCATACTATTTCATGAGCGTTATTAACTTGGCTTCGTAATTGCGTTTTCCTACGGACTTTCTCTTCGTTCGATCAATCACGCGGAAACTGTGGAGTGACTCGAACCGAACGGTGCCGGGCTGTAGTGTGACGCTGATAATCTACGAGTAGTCAGCAGATTAGAAACGCTGAAGCTGTGTAGGCTGAGCTTCTCATTGGGTTAAGCGGCGTCACGGAGTCCATTCACTACCAAGTCTTTAAGCAGTAAGTCTCGACGGCTCGTAAGCAGTAGTTCAAGCGCTGGGCCTTTACCATCAAGTAGACTGATCTAACCACTGCTGAGAGGTAAGGGGCGAGCTGACTGGACGAAAATGGAGGGCTTGATTTGACTCGCAGTTCTGTAGGGACTAATCAGCAGGACCTGTAGTAGCTAACGGCTGCAACGACGGAGACAGGCTTCAAGCGGAATTTACCGCCGCTGTTTCCTTGTTCCTCATTGCCAATTTTCGCAGGTAATTGCGTTGCCCAAAGCCTTCGTCTTTTGACCCTGTCCCCACCCAATACCGAAGTACTCTGGCTAGGATGAAAACCATGCAAAAATCGAACATTTCCTCCCGAGAACCTCTGCCGCCAGTCATGCTGCTTATCACCTATGCCAGGACAATTTACCCCGACTCGTCCTACAGGCTAACATACACACTTTCGGCTTTTAAACGAACACATACGAATACGCGTATTCAGAAGCAGCGAAATTTGCTAAACATTAATTCATTTTTCTATAAAGAGGAGAGGAGTCGGTACTTGCTGATTGCGGAGGTAGCGCTGATGGAGGAATCCATACATGGGTGACGCTGCATAAAAGAGTAGTTGACTCTATTAATTTTCTTTCGGGGGAAGCATCAACGACAACAGACATAACTGTGATTGTCGAAGGTTCTATTCAACAATCGACAATGCAGTTTTGTCTTTTCGTCGAATTGTTGCTGGTGGCCTTCTTTCCACGGTTTCGTCTTTTGACGTAAAGAACGACCTGACAAAACGATCAGCGCAATCGGCTTTTGTTCAGCGTAGCTCAGCATTAGGCCCCTGCGTCACTGCTGCTAATAAACCAACTTGTCAAAGACCTATACACATACTATTAACCTTGCACATAATAATGATGCTACTATTGGCAGTTACATAAAAGGACCAGCTTTGGCGGAGAGCACGGTTGTGGCTTTACTCTCTCGTTTCTCTTTCCACTCAAACCTCAGTCTCCCACCTGTCGAATGTGCCACCCTGCAAGATTTATTCATGCAAAAAAGAAGCATGGAGTACGAAAATACGCACACAAGAATGATGCTATACGTACATATGTACATAAAACACGAAACATCATTTTCGTGTACAGGGTTTTGACGCAGGGTGGCAACGTTTCCACAAGGCTGGTTTGAACGTGGCTACCGTTTTTTTCTGCTAAGAGGCAGCAGCAAACACAAAATGTCGATGTCACATTGGCAGAAACGCCTATAACAACAATAACAACCGTTGCATTCACAAACGGAGCAGACACAACCACATTTGAAGGGAAGGAGCGCACCGCCGTCGGAAAAACGTGACAACAGCAAAATCAAAAGCAAAGAACAACCGATCGACATCTTACCACTGCAAACGCACAGTTTCCGGACGGTGCCCCTCTGAAGCAGGCCTGCGAAAAGATTTCGTAGGAAGTTTTACTAGAGAGAAGAACCCGTTTAGCGTTTGGCGGTACGGCCACAGAACATCGGAAGCATAACGGATGTAACTGGCGAAACAACAAATTTCAAATGTACTCAGAAACACATTTTTCGAGGCACTTGCGCGTTAGTAGTTCAACGAATAGCAAACTAACGAAAAACATTGGGTCTATGAGCGGACTTACAAGATCTGCCTACCATCGGTATGGCACGCCCATGCCACAATCCTTGTGACGAAAACAGATCTGGTCATAAAAACCTGATCTACATAGAAACTGTCGGAACATATTGTCAAGTAAGGTAGCTTGCGGAGTGCAGCCAAAGCAACAAGAAAATTGGCCTTATCTACGTGCATCTTGACTGGCCTTTATTGAGTCCATTTGAGCGTGCGAGTAAGATCGAGAAAAGCAGGAGCGAATCGCTATATTGGTGCCTGGCTCAAGGAGGCACAACGTCGTCTTATGCTACCAAGTAAATGTTTTGAATTTGATGCATAGTACTGTCGTAAGGTGTTTCTTCAATAGTCCAATGCTGCTATTGTTATAGTTACTGAAGGCTTCTGTCAATCGTAAATATTCCACTCACTAAGGATCGGTCCGAGCAGCTTTGCAGCAATAGTCAGGCCATCAGGCCAAGGTTACGAGCGAGCTTCCTAGGCCACTAAAATTGTGAGTCAAGAACGACGCCATCGGCAATCCTCTATCCTCCAAGGACATCCCCAACTTCACAATAGTAATCTTCGCCTGCTGGAAGTACAGGCTGACAGAACTTACGGAGGTCACCAAAGGAAGATCGAAGATTGCATTAAAGCATTGTGCGCAAAGGAATTCTTATTATGTATAGATCGGAAGCAACGGCCGGTGACTTCAAGATACATCGCCAGCTACCGCCCACCTCAATGTAACATATTCACACTAGGCGTTAAAAGAACATGGGGGATGAGAGCTTAGATACTCGGAACACAGTTTTTCCGAAAGCAGTCCACATTATTTCGTCGCATATAGTTGTAACCAGCGGCTACCACTGTTGTGTTGTTCTTGTTTCGCGCTACTACTAACAGCAATCAGTAAATGAAAAAGGCTACGTCGTTCGAGAAAGTTTCGTTACCTGACAATAGCAAAATGTACATTAGAAAAGCTTGCTTAATATCGAGCAACATAATATACTACCATTTTAAGTTGTATTTATTGAATTTATGAGCTCATTATCTAACGCCTCTGCTATCTATATGTCTGGTACGTTATCGAGAGATCACAACACCTTTCGAGTATATAGGACAAATACACACGCGTCGGCGCATACAATGATTTATCGTCGTTATGTGTGGTTATTTTGTCTTACTTCAGAAATGTTAGTTTAGGCACCATGAGCAGAAACTGATGAGTTAACACTGGAAAAAAGATCGAGCCCCAATAAAAACAGAGCAGATATAATCATGAATAGAGGCCACGCGATCTGAAATCGAATGCGTGCAGGGACGACGTAAAGGCTGCCACACCACTGGACAGTTCGTTTCGTCGATAGAAACAGCTTCTAAAAGGTTTCCTAGCTGAAACTTCTGAACAGTAAAAAAGGACGTAGGAGGCGAACCATTGTGGAAATGTTTCAGAGTCTAATAAATAGTACAAGCATCTTCTACATGGTTCTATCACCGCAAAGCATAGTTTCAGACGGCTAAATTTGGCAAAATAAAATATATCTACGCCAGGTTATGATTCGATACCGTCTCACTATGGGTCTTTAGAACTAGTAGTCAAATAGGTTACCGCTGCGTTACAAAGATAACATATTCAAGATTAAAACTGTCTTCAGGAACCTACACGAAGTCATCCACCGAATGTATCCTAATAAACATCTTATTGCCTTTTTTTTTTCACTATAATCCATATTCATAAAAGCATGGATACCCCGTGCAGTTGCACCCCAATAGTTGATAATGCTTAAAATATTTGCGTATAGTATTACAGTTTGCCCCCTGTTTGACGAGTTGATAAATGCTAGCAGACGACTAATTCCATATCAAAACAATGTAGCCTTTTGTATTCCTAGAGGCGTTGATACATTTTCCCTTAAGTCTTCTCACGACATATCCACAATCCTATGGCATTCTTCCATAATTTTTTTGTACCATATAATCAAAATATTAAACGGTTGCTAATAGAACTGCTCAAGTTGAATGCTGTCAATAAAGGAATTCAAGCTAAAAATGCCAAACAGGAAATATAAACTGTAAACACATGGCAGGATTTACATCCTATTTTATTGCTATCTTGGAAATAAGATCACTTCATTAGGTGCACGTACCATTAAGATGCTGGAATTGCACATATGGATATCGCATGGATACGAAGCCGAGCGTGCGTACCTCATGGTTTCTGTTGGAGCTCTCAAAGAGATTCCAAAGCCGGAGATTATACGGCACTCTAAGCCAATGGCTCCCTATGGCTTCCAAGATATACTATAGTACAAGAAGCAGGTAGGCAACAATAGCCTCACAACGAGGTACAACAACAGAAACAAAGTAAGACTCTTAAATAGATGAACGACTCAACTTTGCACTGAATAATAAACCCGTCTGTTATCGGTCTGCTCGTATGACGAGTCTAGCCGGAGCAGGGTTCATCTTCAAGCATTTACGCCATCAGCAAGATTAAAAGTTACCAGAAATAAGCTGAGCGTAATTTCTATATAAATAATATACAGAGATCGACAGTAGCACGCAAGGAACTTCAGTGCGTGGCCTAGCCTGGTGTACCGATGCGCATGCCTTTGAGTACACTGCCATGCTAACCACGAATATTGGGTTATTGCTGATTAAATTGCGTGTGTAAATGGTTAGTGCGATGTATTGTTGCCATTTCGTTTCATAGGCGTGCTTGAGGAAAACCCAGATAAACCCAGCCAAGCCCATGATTACAAAATCTGAAAAAAAAATTTTAAAAAAGAATCGAAGTTCGCGTACTTCAATTAGAGGCGATGAGCGTGCTCACCCCCTGCCCTTAACGCTACATAGGACGATCCCTGGCGGATGATAATGTCAAACATAATACGTTTATCTAAAAAAAACAAGAGTCTTTGTTCAAAAATATGATTTTTCACAAGAATGCTGTGCTCACGTGGCCTCCATTTTCGAAAAATCCCAGAACAGATTAAGCCTAGTGGTCGGTACACATTGACTTCGTGAATGTAAAAATCTAGTTTGCTAAGTCTTGAAATGAGGCCATCATATTCCATCAGTTCGAGTTAAAACAACAGCTCGAATAGTTTCCAGAACCGATTCTTGATCCGCAGTCTACCCCTCTCAATTAGAGATCTACGAAAATGGACCACCATCGATATATCGTTTCTAAATGCTTAAGGCAGATCACTAGCAAAAGGGACTTAGAATCTTGATTTGTCTTCCGTTTTCTGAATTTCTGTCCGTTGTCTTCGTAATATACAGCAGTACACGAAGCATCTATACTTCCAGTTATTCTCTGACTTGGCAATATCTTGAGGTAATGGCCTTCAGCAGAACAGTCATCTACTCAACAAGTCATTAATGCATTGAATGCGTGTACCAGCATGTATTTTCAACATTTAGTGAGAATCATGAATTCTTTAATTAACGCTCCACGGTTTCACCTTCCTTAGTCGTTCTAGCATTGCAATCTGAGCGTCTATTAACTCAGGTCTATGTGCTCCCTGCGAACCATACTACTCTTCCTATTGAGGGTGTATTTGTGCCAGCTTTTTTCCATGTTTGTGTGCATGCATGTGTCTGAGCCTGAGTAAATGTGCAACGGTACGTGCCATATCTGCTCTCTCTCTCTCGCGGAAGCTTTCGGTGTCTGTCAAAATCTGCACTTCGTTGTGAAGCACATCAAAAGTCCACTGAGGAGAGTCTATGATAAATTGATAGGTCTCGTTAAGAAACGTCCGCTCCATAATAAATACAACCACAATAAGAGCAATGCTCAGCATCACATACAGCAGTAAGATAGGAGACAATATTCCCTGCACATAAGATTCATTTAGATAACGTTGCGCCACATAGTTTGGAAGAAGACGTTATGCATTGCGGTCTTCTCAAACTGTCAAGAAACTTATTATTATTATTATTATTATCATCAAATAATTTACCGACATTTGTCTTAATCTGTATCTACTCTTCAAACAAAACGCGAAGCTAAATGCTCAAGCTGATCGTGACTCCCTCTGGCGGCGAATCGTTACGCTGCCTGGGCACTAAAAGCAGGGGCATTATTAGTATTCGAAGCAGCATAATTGACATTTGTGCCAAAAACACATCCCGGTTTCCTTTATTTGTTCCCCATTTTAATGGCAAATATGAAAAATGACTATTTTGTTATAGGCTTAGGGGTTAGGTAAATTCGATCATCGTTGGAATGGCCTGAACGGTGTTCTTGACGTTGTTTTATATAATGAACTAAGTTCTAATGGCAGCGAACACGGATTTCGTTTGCCGTCTGTTGTCTTCGACAGCAATTTATGCTGCAGACAAGCCACGATGATTTCTATAGTCGTATATGTAATACGTTGCAAGGACCGTGATTGTGAATGTATTGAATTGAACGGAGATGTAGCGAAACGCGACTGATTATGATTTTGCGTTTTTGTGTGACTCTGCAAAAGCCAACGTATCAATATACGAAGGGTAGCAGTGTTTTTTTTCCGATGAGCCCCATAAAGCATGAAGAAATTCTTCCCTATTGTTTCGACTGAATAGAAGGTGTCCAGTGGACGGTGCTGTGTCATACGGACTTGTATATAGTGACTAAGGGTATTGGTAAAACGAAATCAGTACTCTCAAGTACAAACGATAAGTAAACATAGATACAAGCAGATATCGTTCCCTATGTCATGAAACGTTTCCGATATAGTGATATTTGTTTCTAATATGAAGCACAGAAAATATGACATTTTGAATAATATAAATAATTTTACCAACGAGCAAATATGGGATAGCGTTATGACTACAAATGTCTTTACTTTTACAGATGTCAAATATTTCGTGTCAAAAAATATTTTTCTCGCCTCTCGTCTGTCAATATCTACTGGTAAAAGATCACGCCATCTCTGAGGCATATTGTCTGGACTGTCATCGTTGAGGCGTCTTGCGTACACTACTACTAGTCAGTCGGGCCGGTCCATACGATGGCCTTTTCGAATAAAGATGAATCAGTTGAGACGAGTGTGCAATTTGGGCCAACCGATGAGCTCGAGCCTACTCAATAGCTATACTGTTAATAAACCATCACAGATTTTCAAAACAGCCCCTGCTTAAGACGCGCGCCATTTGCCCCTCAAGTCTTCTTGAGCAAGACTTTGATTTAATTGCTGGCAGAGGTAGGCCTTTGCTGTCACTGCCGGCTGTTAGTTTCCATTGCTACAATTATTCTGATGTCATTTCGTGATAAATCTTGCAGCCCTAACTAGATAGTCTCAGCTCGAATTTGACCAATACGTCCCGAGGAAGTAAGACGCCGGTCAAAAGCTGTGCCTGAAATTCTCAAACATGAAAGGGGCATTTTCGATAAACTGGCTCAATTCAGGCAATATATGCACAACTTTTCCGACCGAACTTCGAATGATACAGCCATTTTAGAGGCTACTACGGGAGCCGGAAAGTGTGCAGGCTTGGTGTTGTAAACATACAGCCTGCACTGGTGGTATATCTCTTTGGCATTGTTAGTATACTGTTTACTTTGCAGTTGCTTTCTTTTGCCAAAGAGATATCCATGAAAATATTCTTAGATGAAATCTAGATCCGGACAAGCGACTTATCCAAAATAGGCTTCTAGCATTTCACTCACCACCCGGATAAACACAACTGCTAACACTAACCAAGATATCGGCTAGCGTACTTTTAGTGCATCTTCTTGTAGATGTAGCGAACTCAAACGAAGTTCGTCAACTCGAAAACGATGGTTGGAAATCAACGCAATACGCAGATATAAAACATGCTTGATTGGAAACATCTGCATCTAATTAACGTTCGGCTTTCGATTACCTTCTGTTCTGTTTCAGTGCCCAAACACGCCAAGATGATGGGCAGGTCATTCTGTGGACAGGAATGGGCCCGATGTCAGGCCAGTTCATCCGCGGCCTGGGTCAGTCTCGTGGCCTTATGATGTACAACGCCTTCGCCGATGACAAGGAAGGCCACTGCGGGTTCGGCGAGTTCCCCCTATTGAAGGCAGTGCATGATGCCCTTCAAGGCAAACACGACTCAGCAGTTACATCGGGTTCTCGAGCAGGGCACAATTAACATAGGACCAAGAACGTAACACGTCAAGAACAATGAGCGAACAAACATAGCCCCGTTGACACAACACCGTGTTCAAATAACCTCGAACATTAAACGTGGCAGGCCGATCAACAACCTTTGAAATAAGAGATACCATCATATAACATGTGACATAAGGTGGCCACACGTACATGCGTTCAACTTCGACGCATAGAGGAAGAATTAGAAAAGCAATTAACGCCAACATATGAGCTAACGTGATGGCTAGCCAATAACGTTTAGCTTATAATCTCAAAGATCAGATGAAAACGAAACGAAAATGTACACAAACATTGAATAGAATAGCAGAAGACATGACTCGAGGCAAGATCGTCTTTCTACACTCAGGCGCGCATCTATCCGAAATCCGGTGTTCCCCTTTTAAGCTGATCTGGCGCAACATCCATCGGTAAGGTAACGAAGTATGTATGCCTAGGAATATATATTACTTGTTCATGCAGAGAGTTTCCGCTGAATGGCAGGTCCCAGGTTTGCAAAGGAACTAATGGAGTTAAAAGGTGAGATGATCGGCGCTACTGGAAGCGCTAAATGCACTGATGAATGGACTATTATTGCAAAAAGTAAATCTATGAAGAGAGATTGCGTCTTACGTAATTTTAGGGCAAAAGACTAGTCGAAGAAAAGGTAAATAAACGAAAGAAAACGTGAAACAGATAAAAGAAAAAAAACATCCGTGAAGAAAAGTCAAAGGAACGCGTAAATTTTAAATAAATCTAATTAAATAAGACGTAGGCGACGGCCTAACGGCCGGTGAAATCGGCCCAATGTTACCAACAATACAGATGTAACGGAGTAACGATAAGAGTTCAATACACAAAAGGAGAAGCACATGTTGTTCTAATGCAGAGGGGCTACTATTCCCCCCCCCGACGCAGTGAACATGCTCAACTGGCTGACTAAACTTAGGTATCAATGATTTGTACATATTAAAACGATGGGCAGATAACACCAAACGGTACTGGTAATTATGATGAAGCAAATGATAGAAGAGAGAGAACACTTATGCTAAGTAGCTCTAGGTCGGACCCGATGTGCAATATAAAAAAAATTTCAGCAGACAGAGCAACAGCTTTAGGCACCTGCTTCCAATTTGGGGAGTGTCGTCGCCCATCCGAAATTTCGCGCATTTTGGTGATATCATGAAACAGAAGTCATGGTATATCTATTGTCCTCTTGGACTGATCCCTGTTGCCCCAATGACATAGCTGGCAATTCCCTCAACTTGTAAATAGTGCACAGCAAAAAAAAGGGATTTTGGTGTGAGGGAAAAAACGGCCTTGTTGGGCGACATGGCTAAGAACAGAGGGCCATTAGGGCCGTTTTTCTGGCTAGGTGAAAATAAAAACTACGTATTGCAAAACATGAAACGACTAAACAAAATCATGTAACTGCAGGGGGCAGCGGCACCCCTATAGTTATTTAGGCCTCTTCTCCACACATCTATAAAACTTCCTGATAGCCGAAAGTCCCGCCTTGCTTTGATTTTTAAGCGGAAATATCTGCGGCATATTTCGTTCTCAGCTTACCGCAGTCAAACAATGATCGATTATCGCATTATTATTATTAAGTAGGAAATTTATGGTAATATCTTCCGGTGACTTCGTACAGATGAGCATCATAATAGTAATACCATGGACGGTAATGAAGACTTCAAGATCATGATTTCGTGTGACCATATTGCAGCGCATTTAGCTGTTGAAGAAAGAAACAGCGAGGGCATTACGTGTAAGCAAAAGACAGATGGTAACGGTGAATGCCATGTGTCTATCAACAGTCATCAAATAGTTATGGTCATCTCTATATACCAAGTCATGATTAGGAGCGGTCTTTAGTGGACAGAACGATTCGTTGATCAAATCATCCGAGTACTAGTATCATTTTTGTTGTCTGAGGCCAATGTGTGGTTCCGCTGTGAAGATCTTCTTTTTGGCCAGCTGACAATTAACGTTCGACCGGTTATATCTAAGCGGTAACCTGTAACATAAAATTTGGTCATTTGTAAACTTCAGATAAATCAGCTTGGTATAAGAAATTATCACTGTTGTTAGAGGTGGCTCGTCCTACAAGAGCGCATAGATTTCATCAAGTGTCTCATATCGGCTGTCACGTTAGGCATCACAATCAAGAGGACTTGAAATTCAAGTATGACGGAGTTAGAACAGCAGTAGTTAACCTCGAGGAAGCAAAATGAAGGCGATTCTGACGAAAAATATGAGATATTACGTGCGAATGAAGACTTTGGGCGAAAGATTGAAAGATTTAAGAAAAAAGTGATTTCATCATTGGTAGCTGAAGTATAGTCAGATCCAAGCGAAACGACGATTTTCATCTGAATAACTGCACAAGGCTGTGTGCTAAGACTGATCATCTGTCTGACAGATGCACAGATCGAATGGTTACATTTGTCACGAAAATCTTCTTTTTGTACTAATTTTATAGCTTTTGAATTGATTGCATGTAACATGGCCGAAACATATATTTATTACAGTCTTCGACCTAAGAGTCGCGTAATAACTTTTTTCTATAAAAATCTTCTAGTTTAGCGAAAAAGTATGTGATGCCAATCGCTTTGACTGATTGATTGATTGACTGACTGACTGAGTGCTAGGTATCGCTTGACCAATATATTAAGCGGACCTTTGCTGTAAAAAATTCTATGAATAGTTGTTTTTAAATTTGAATTCCCAAAACCCCACTCCCTCATCACACGATTGGTAAGGTATTGGGTTGCTTTTATTATATCTGGCCTATGTGGCTGGATATAATACGCCGGTGATGTGAGTTAGCTGATTGGCTAGTTTAAGCGTTCGCACTAGTCAGCAGAAGCACCCACGATAATTTAAATGTACCGTAGCGGCAGAGAAGAAAAACTGATATCACGCTATGGACGCCATTGTAATCATACCGTCTTGTCCATTCGTCATTACCTCATAACGTCTGAATTATGCTGAACCAGTGCTTGCGAGTTTTTGTGAAGATGATGTACTCGCTGGTGATGAACCATTGACGAAAAGTACAGAATTCACAGGCCTTCTCTTTCTAATCAGAATAATTGATACAAAGAATGACTTAGAAAGGCACGAGAGGTGGTCAAAGAAATGAATGCCCCCGTTTGAAATTGTCTAATTCATTATTTAACGAATGCATGTAAAACATTGAATCGTGAATCACTTGCCCACTCCCAGAAACCTACTGTTTCCTACGAGCTAATCTAGCCTTAATCTGAATAGTGATTACCGACCGGCAGATATTAATTCATCCGTGTAATCGGTAGACTGCCAATCGTTCTGTGGAATATCTCCCCTCTGATTAACGAATGAATCATTCGAACCCCTGCGTTCTTGCAGAACGCAAAGTCTGCCCCCTTTCCTGGACGGCCTTAAGTTACTAAAAACGAAAGAAAAATTGAATTTTTACTATTCCTATTCATTATTATTATTATTATTACTGCGCGTGGTGAACTAGAAACAATTAGAAGTTGTACACACAAAGGAACACCATTTCATCGTCGACTCATCAACTTTCGGCTAGGTAACACAGGGACAATACAGAACAGGGAATTATAACAAAAATACTGGCAATTATTGGAGTCAAGAGAAGGAATTATACAAGAACCAATCGAAAGCTAAGCACACCGCTATATTGAAAAAACCTTCGGGAACAACAAAAGGTAGTAGGTGTATGTAAACAAATATATATAAGAGACTGAAAGCTTACTAATGCGAGCGAAAGAAATAAACAAACATTAGTCATTCATATAAAATGTTAATAATATTAAACACAGAAGAACTAACAATATTATGAATAGTAATGATGATAACGTACGAAAATATCCAAGATCGATCGTCCTGATTCCTTAGTAACAATGCTATTAAAACCACTGACGACCATGGCATTGACTAACTGATAATAACAGACTGATCAAAAGGGAAAGATACGCAGACGCCGTGCTGGTACAGTGTGATGATGGTATCTGGAGATAGAAAGGAACAAGGACGTTGTTGGCTGCAAACGAATGATGACTATTAGAGGGTTCGACGGTGAGCCGCTGTGACGAGCGGCTGTCTGTCATCGGCTCGCCGTCTTGAAATGTCAACAAAAGATGACTTTTTAGCGGAAGGCATGAAATTGACATGAAACACAACGTCAACAATGGCAACAAAAATAACAACTATTATAACAAGAAAATGATTTGAAAAAAAAAGATAAAATTGGATAGAAATGATGTACATATTGTTTTAGCTCACAATAAACAACTTCGCTCCCGTAAGCAGGCATGTGTTTTTTGCGAGCATCAAATATGATAATCATCTTGTATTTAATGAGTAAACGTTGACATATGTGTGTGTATGTGTGAAAGCCATTACAGGAGCTGCTAGAAGGGAGAGCATCCTTTGGAAAAACTGGTTTGTGGTAAAGAACCTCCATTCCAACTCGAACGCTGGCAAAATTTCTAGCGAGAGTCGAGTTTATCAGAGGTTACAGAAGCGCACGTTGTCTCAGACAGGTTGTTGGTTTTGACTTCAAGGTAACTTTTTTTTGCTGTATCTTTTCCATCGAACTGGAAGCGCTTTTGCCCTAAGGCCCAGGTAACTGAATGGTTTAATGGTAGAGAACTTCCGCTTTCAATTAAATGACTATGTAATCCTCGCTATAGATTTTACGTCAGCGTATCAAATCCCCACCACTATTCCCTACCGGTCAGCTTCTGCTTCAATATTCGTCCACCACATTTACTACGATGTCTCGGTTTTATTCCTGCTAACTTATTACATATTAAATAATAATAGTGCCAATTATAGTTACAACAAATGTATTCCTGATTGTGCCACTTATCGGGTGGTAGGTGGCGAAGCTAAATGTATCAGACACTAGGCACCCGCATTTTAATAACTACAGAACTCAGAATCTATAATTGGCACTCGAACTTCGCAGCAAGGGCTCAGATGAAACGTAAGATCAAACTCTGCTTCTTCTATATATACATATATATATATATATACAACATCTGTGCAGGCACCAGATCATAATACCTCTTACGAAAAAAATCAAAACCTATTTCAGTTGTTATATCGGGTAAAGACGTTGGCGAAACAAACATATACGCAAGTATAAAATAATCTTTTTCCCATTGTTGAAGCTTTGCAAGCTCCATCTAATTTTACAGAAGCCAATACGTACGCAATTTTCCAATATGCTTGTTACCAAACATCTGCCATGGAAGACCCAGGTTCATTAGATAAATCACTGTGTACTACCTGTCCGTGCACGACGAATAAGCCATTTCGACGTGAGGTCGTGTGTGTCCAGCACGTCTCTAGACCTTTTCACCTAGACGGAATGCTGTGACCCAGCAACTATGTTCATATCACGTCATGCGGCCGGCGTCATTTCGCCCTGATCAGATGAATATCTGATCATGAATATCAGTATGTTCACACATTATGGCACAGAGCTCAATCTGCCCTGTTACAAGCGCAACTATTTTTGGCCAAAGACGAAGATGAGACCCACTTTTTACGGCAATAACAAACAAGACCGTGGCCAATCGGCAAGCGCATAACGACTGATGCATTTTCCGTTTGTAAAGCAGATGATGCCATTACCTTCGCCATACAGCCCGAACCTGCAACAAGCAATCGCGAGCTCTATTACAACTCCGTCGCTGTATACGGCGCCCGTTACTTGACCCACTCTCTAAGTAAAAAAACATACCACTTCCGACAATGTATACGTAACTGCTCCATGTTACAATGAAACATGTTACAGATAACGTCTATCGGGAACTCGTTCGAAGTGTGGAATAGTTAATAACGCTAAGGTATTTTACATGTTTAGATGACCATTGCTGTGTTGTTATTATTTTTTATTATTATATTTTTTCCTGTTTACTTTTCCCAGTAGTGATTCACAGTCTTCACTCACTTTATCTTGCAAACGTAATCAGCTTTTTTTCTTCTAAGCTATATGGATCGATTTGCGAGTCATCAATTATCGATACCCTCGATTTTGATGCTCGTGCATGTTTCATCACCATTGATATGAAAAATCGATATGTTTTTTTGCCTATATACTGGGAAAATTTCCTGCGATCATGGTTGTTCCACCATTTAGATATAATCAATGATAATAACACTGCTCATACGCATCCCTCCTGCCATCATCAACGAACAACGTCGTTGAATGAAAATGAACGACAGTACAACGAAGCGCACGGCGCAGGACGTCAAATTTGTCTGCTACCAGTGTTTATAACATAGAAAATACGTAACATGCAAAAAATATATATATGGAGCGGCTAAATGGAGCAGCAAAAAAAAACATAAAATGGAGTAGGTAAATAGCAACCTCTTTTTAGCGAATTCAATAGGATTCTTTATGGCAGCAAAAGGTTCCTATAAATGTTCGCAAGTTGACAAACAAGCTTATGTGACACTTTTTCCCGCCTTAGAGTACAACAGGAGCAGTCACTTCCGCATGAACGTCTTCCGCCTGTCACCACCCCGGCTAGCGCACATAGCACGGAGTAGCTTATATATAGTACACTATAGCAAATTGTGTGAGTGTGGGCGTGCTTCATAGGGTCCAACTCGCAAGAATTCAAGTTCTAGTTGTGGTGACTGCAGTAGTATGACTGTGTGAAATTAACAAATTCCGCTTTTCTCTGTGCATATCTCAAGTCACATGTGGATGGGGGTGGCTTGATATCTTTACGCTACCGGCAACAGGACAAGCAGTTCCGGCAGGGCAACCCAACTGTTCATACTGGTCCACGTTTGAGAGGGGCCTCTCGGTAAAGTCCCGAGGTATTTTTTATCAGGTTCGCCGACTGCCGAGCTTTTCGGCGTACAAGGCCAGCTAGAACAGAAGCACGTACCCAGGTTGCTAATTTCATCACTTTCTTTGCCTCCCACCTTGTCCCATTTTTCCCCATCCCTTACATCCGGTTACCGTATCCCGTTTTCCTAGTACAGGCCCGACGGAAGCAATTCTTATGGAGATTTAAAAGTCTGCAGAGACACGGCTTACAGCCTATCCACTGTTCGCGCTGGCTATGAAACTCGGTCGGATCGGGCAGGTGCCACTTAGCACTGAGCCCGTGGAGTGGGCTGCGTTTCGGCGAAAAAAGCTTCACGTGAAAATTTATAGCCTGCTTCTATTCGCCTGGTTGTCACCTTACCTGGCTAACGGACGGCTAGCGCTGACAAGCCGCTAGAAGCCTATATGGTAATAATAACAAAGGAAACAACATATTTCATTAATACTCGTATGTTCTCTTCCTAAAGAATATAGCCTTTTGACTATGTTAGACATTGTAAATTTGGTTACTATCGAGCGATCAATAATAACATGTGGTGGCACAGCAGCCCTCGCGCAGCTAAAACAAATAAGGAATAATTTCGAAAAATATTAAAAACACAAATAATAAACATTTTTCTATTGTGCCTATTTGAATGTTTCGCTTATATAATACTATATTTTGTTATATACTACGGTATAATATTATATAATGCAGTGTTTAGTATTAGACAGAGATACAACATGTGTAGATTCAATGTAGAAGTACCGTTTGTTCAAAAACGCGCGCTTCTGCCGTAACTATTTTTATCACAAAACAATAATGAAATTATCGAATGGATAAATGTAGCCAGAAAAAAGACCAACGCGTTTGCTCAAAACAGCCACCATTTCCTGTGCTCCATGTTAGATTTAAAAAATGATTTAAAATTCGAATCGAAGTTCAAGTAAAGTTTATAGAGGTCACGTAGAGGATGGTGGATGCGACTTGTTCCTTTACGGAAAAGGTCCGGTATCGCACGAGGTTAAGCTTGTCGATATGTTAGCTGTCAAGCAACTAATGGAGATCAGAGTTCTCGTCTCTCGATAGCCAGAAAAACTATACATTTTCCACCAAAGATGTTCTGCTGAAGAACTATCATGAGTATTGCATTGCTATGTTATATTATTAGGTCATGCATGGTAACAGTGCTGACATTGTACTATCAATGTAGTAGTATATCAATACGAGTCATTACTGTGAGAATGTATGCTTAGTCCAGTTATATACAAGTGTACGTATATACATAGTCTTGTCTCTAAACCCGGTTTTCAGGAAACACCGTCTTTGACGAATAAAAGTTTACTCGTACTCCAGAGGCCAAGCTCTCTAATGCCATTTCATCGTCAAATCCGCTTAACCCTTCGAATACTTTGTGATACAACTCAAAGGAAAATTGAGGTCGTGTCTGGGTTTGAGTAGCTTACGCTTATAGCCTGAGCAGGAAACACTACACGTAGAAGTCCTACTGTTGTTTTTTTGGCGACTCTTCTCGAAGCGAGTAACCTTGGGGGCGAACGCTGTCACGAACCCTATTCCAAGCGTGGGTAGGTAAAAGTGAGGATAAAAACCAAAATAACTCCTTATGTAGTTTAGGAAAGAGTGTAATTGAAAGATACTCATTTTTCATGGGAAAATCTGATTTGACCAAATTCAGCTCGCTGATATTTTAAGATAAGCCTCATTTAAAACAAAGATCAGGAATCGAAATATCATTTAAATCTAGAGCTTTAATACGTTTCGAATCACAGTCTTTTAGTTAGTTAGACTCGAACACACAACGCGAAGCCTGCCGAGTATCCAATTTGTTGTACCACAAGCCATAATCTCCACCATTTTGTGAATCTCTGTGTATAACGTCAGAGGAAGAAAAAACCATTGGACGCTTAGTAAGATACCGCTCAGAAGGTTAGGTTAGCTTAGGTTACAGATAAAATTCTTATAACCTGCTCGAATCTGACTATTTCGGGTGTTAATCAGTAGAAACCATGATAATAATTGTATGTTAATTTTATATCCCGAATAATGCATTTAGTTTTTGTGACGCATCTCTTCCATATCGACCTAGAACAAATCAATGCTCCCAATAGCTCCGGTCGTCCTCCTTAGTAGCTTAGTTTACCGGTGTTAACGCCTAGGGTGAAAACACCAAAACTGCTTTCTAGTCCGGAGTAGGTGAATTCGAACTCAGTTCAAAGGCTTGTGGCAAAGCATAGAAAAATGATCAAGTAAGATTGAAACGAAGATTAATAGCAAGGTAAATTTTTAAGAAATTAAACTGTTACTTATGTACAAATAGGTGTGATTCGGGGGGAGCATCGGGGAAAGATGGCTGCATCATCTGTCATAGTAATTGCTAATGCAGCCCTGGTGTAGTCGTAACCTGTTTGCTTAGTGATCTTGAGCATATCCATGGAGATGGTCGAGGTTCCAAGCCAAATGTAGATCTCATGCTAGAAAGGGCCTAAAGCATTTCGAAGCACTGCTAGATAATGGCAATACCGGGTGCAGAAATTTCGTACATCTATTGTGCTCCATATGTCCATAATGGAAAAGGTATCCAATTTGTCCCGCTTCATTTCTATGTTAACAAAACACGTTCAATTTCAAATAATTGCCATTAAGTCCATGTCGGTCCTATGATATATTTTGAATCATTTTTTTTTATTAAACGGCCCATGTGTACTTTGTGGTTACTTGGATATGAAAATTATACAAGTTTGATATTGAATGTGGTCGAGCCAAAATAACGTTACTCACCTCAATCGGTTTTAGCCGACGACTAGCACTTACGGGCAATTTTTTGTCCAAAAGGCACAGTTGCAATTGCCTCGTTAAATACTGAGAGGCTCACATTGCCTCTTAAAGTATTAAGCATAGTTGATATCATTAAGGAACATTATAAAGGTCGAGGTTCTGTGTGTTGCGTCGAGTCTAGTTCGTTATCGGAATTACCCAGACAGATCGCTCAATCAATTTGGAGCGGGCTGTGCATAGCCGTCCACTAAGGCAAGAACTAGGCACCAAGCTGTCAGTCCTTTTCGTGTCACGACCAGACAAATTGTCGCGTGTTGACCCCAATTACACCGCAGATCCCATTCCCGGTAGCGGCCTTTTGTCAGTTCCTTTACTTTGCAATTATACCGTATCTCGATATTGATAGACACGTTCATTCGTTCACATCGGTCTAGTTAATAATAACTTTAACTTGGGACCTGTAGGCGCATCCCAGTCCTCTATTATTCTTGCCGCTCTATTGTACACTAAAGGATCATGCATAATGGCTGTGGGCTTAAAATCAAAGGCCGCGTGCTCGGGTGAACTTATCGAACGGCTATGATTAATGACATGTGAAGGGGTACCGCTAACGTAGTTGGTGCGATGCTAATTTTATGCCAATCCAAAATACGAAACGTTATAGTTAGCGGAAAGTTCTCTACATTATTCTCTCTATCTTCGCTAGATAAATCTCATCGCAAACATTACGAAACTCAAAAGGTACATATTGAGCCTGATTTTATCTGCGTCGTATTTTCAAGCAGAAGTTTCAACGATTTGAAAACGAGCCACTCCTCAATTATGCGCATTGAAACATATACTAGGATGCGCATTTCTAGCCGATTCGCTAAAGGATTTTTTAAGACATGTCTACTATAAATTTACTTACAAATATGAAACATTTCTGCCTAGTTTTCGTCCTCTTGCATGAATTTTTTTTAAGTTAATTTTTAAGTGATTCATTAACGCTAATCTTTACAATATTTACTAATCTTTATAGATTGAAAGGACGAAAACTTGACAAAGTAGGATCGATGCTGGGCTTTAGCCGCATGTTCACATACGTCTATATAATAACCCCGCATCGATCCCGCTTCGTGAAGTTTTCGTCCTTTCAGCCTATAGAGATTAGTGGTGTGTGACGAAAGATCAGTGCTATTCGTATGCTAATTACAGAACTCCTACTGATAAAGCCCAACAATGAAGTGAGTACATCTAAGGGAATCATTGTCTGCTTTCGGCTGCTCTCTTCTCGTCCAGTAAAAAGTAACAGGATAAGATATTCACCTAGAAACTAAAAAATATCTCTGATTATCTTGTGCAAAGCTTTGTTAGAGACGCCTATCAGTGAATGGAAATATGCGCAGTTTCTCCATTTTCAAAAGCGGAAATTTTGGCGCTTGACCAAACCAGGAGCGAGGCAGACGCTCTAGACCATGGAGATGGATATGCGTACAGATACGTGCTAAGGTATCAAAGCACATATAACAATGTATAAGTTCTTATTAGCTTTCAGCCCATTTTCTTAATTATCCTCTAGATTATCTTAATTATCCGTGTAGATTACAAAATGCTATATGAGTATACATGTACATGTATCTCCGCAAGCGTGTGATTACGCTATGTGACGATTTTTTTCGATTAATTTAAATGCTGTTAGCAGGAAAGGCCCGAGCGCGACGCTGGCTTAAAGTTAGTAAAATTACCGACAGTCACACTATGTAACTGCTATACTATCGGTAGAACTCCATCAGACGCGCGAAAAATATTGTAGTTAGATTGTTTCGAAGTGAAAACTTTATTCTTGTATGTATGTCAATGGCATTTAACACGATAATCCGCTAGGGCTTTGCCCCACCTAATAGCATATGTATTGACTGTTATTAGGTAATCATGCGTCATGTGCTCCCGAAAAAAGTTCAGAACTTGAATGGATCTGATTTGGCCAATAGAAGTTGGGGAAAAGAACAAAGATTTGTGCGGGATATCGAAATAAATAGCATCATGCAAAGAGATCTTTTTCATTTGCATTCATAATAATTATGTACGATATTTTTAGCTGCTAAGTAGTGAATATATTTATTAAGAAATAAATGCGTTTTTATGCAACGTTGCCAATAATGACAAGCATGTCAATATATACTTTATAATTACAATAAAACTGAAGTACTATGGGAGATAACTGGAGTGTCCATTTTATACAACAAAAAGTACAATTTCAAAGCGGATAAGCTGCTTTGACAACCTCTCGGAACTTTATTTTCGGTCACAATTCTGTAGACGTTACTCGACAAGTAGAGGTCCACTAGCTAAAGCGTCGTCGGTGAAAATGAAGATTCTAAAAGGAAGGACTGTGATACTTGCCAGTAATAGTTAGTTTGCATTTATCAGTGGTCACTTTATTAAGGCTGAGTGACATCTCAATGCTACAATACCTTCGGATCGAATTCTGCACAAGGCATATTTTTCCACGCTTAGTTAGCATATAGCACAACGCTAGGACCATTATGGACCTGAAATTGGAAACGTTTATGGTGACGCTCAAATCGCTTTTTATATCTACGGTATATGGAAAACCCATTGGGGCTACTGGGTCTATTTCATTATTATTTCTGATACCGCGTGGGGTCCTCAATAAGCAAAGTACAATAATTATCATTGTAACCTTGACTTATCAGTGGGCTTGCGATTTGCGGACCACTTGGAATAGTTACCCACGCTTCGGTAAGCACGCTTTGCAATAATCCAGATAGATAATGGTATGAAAGAACCGGACTCGTTGAATAAATGTAACTCGAAAGGACAGTAGCGTTCCACATCGTTTAAACCCTGTCTGCAGACTAATGTCAATGCGAAACATAAAAATCCTCTTGACCGTTAAAAGATGTCGCTTTTTTATTTTTATTAATATTTACCGTGCTCTACAGAAACTGCACTACGAGCCTGTAGAAGCCTACAATAGAGCCTTGCTTTCAAGTTCCATTAAACACATCGTAAAGCCTTTTCTTCGTCGATGTTTGACATCAACCCGAAATTGGAAAAGTCCATATCCTATTATCAGTGGCAATTTACTGCAAAAAAACACCAGACTATTATGTAATTGCTACTATCGAACGACAGCTGTATAGTGAACAAATAAGAATATTGCTAGAAATAATAATATTATTATTCCCAACACTAAACGTAACGATGAAACCCTTTTTAAGCTAGGCAGTAATCTGGGTACTGTAAAAGGTTGCATGTCCTAGCCGAAAAGCAATCTTCTCAATATACGTTTTTGTTATTCAATCACATCTGACATGTACCATATTTCATTGATACTGGGGGCCTGTATATGTCGAGCTATATTCTACCATATACACACGTTCGGTAACGACGTGTCCGTCTTAAACTCCGGAGTGAGCTTTTCGTGAGCTCAATTAATAGCCCCTGGCCAGTTTCTCTGCGAGCTTCGTCTTCGGCAAAACGGGACTATAAGCCTGATTAAGGCATATTTTTGGCGGCTATAGCAGACGAAGCAGATGATATCGATAGTGCACATAATTGTTCTAATGAACGGCCGGTATTCGTAAAGTTGACCAAACCTCTTACCATGGTTGAGTTCGAAAATGCCAAATATTGGACACATCTAAGGGCGAGCATCACGAATATTTTGCAGAAATGGTACAAACGGCTTACACGAAACTGCAAGGCCAAGAGGCCATTAGTTAGTAATGATTACTTAACGGTGTTTTATCATATTAATAGTCCTTTAGTCGACGGAAGAAAATTAGCTACACTAAATGTAAATAACCGCTTTACGCGTAGACGTTTCATGCATATGAAGGTCATGGATCAAGAAAAATAGGTCCGCAGAGACTCTAGAAACAGCTAAAAAAAACTATTACCTTCTGCCTGCATAAACCAATACGGCTGCGTAACAAGTAATCGAGCGTCAGACTCGATTTCGTATGGTTTTACTAAGTTTACCTAGTAAATTGTGCAGCAGATTCATTCTTTTTGCTATTCGATTCAATCTGAATCATCATTTTAAAGATGGCTATATATTTTTTCATTTACCGTTACACTAAGGTCACCTTTTATAATCGTTTCTGCACAAGTGATATCGTAGGTAATATAAACTTCTATTCAACGTCTCACAGCATGCATGTCGCACATATACATCATTAGCTCAACCGAGGGCCGCTTTCTTGCATTGATTGTACCGTATCGACGATGCCAGGTATTGTCATCGCTCACTTTCACCGACGTATAACGAACCTCACTGGATACTACGAAATATAGTTGCTACGTCTTTGCCGCGACTGACGTTTTCGTGGCGTTCTTCTGCACCGGAAGTTCACGGCCTTCGTACTTCTGTTCCTGCATCAGCCGTCGATCTGTTGCTAGGTATTTCGATGCATTTTCGCCAATGCTGACGCGCTGGACAAAAATGACGATCAAGTTCAGGGTCCAACCGACTGTAGTGGTGTGGGAGAGACTATTTTCTGGTTTGTGATGGCCGTTCTCGTTTGCGCGATTGTCTATCGGTTCTATGTACCGTAAGAACAGCACTATGATAAAAGGGCTAAATATAATGGCGGGACAAGAAGCTATAACAAATACGATAAATTTAACGACAAAGAGCGACCTGAAGGGTCTCTGTGTGTTGATCTTCAATAAAAGTAGTTTATATATATATCTAACGTGTATTTTGCAATCGTAGCTATCTAGACACACTAATAATAACTGTCCCCGTAATGGTGCAGCGATAACGAGCCCGCCTCTGACCTAATGCTGAACGGCAGTAGCGGACCTTAAACTCGAAACATTCATTTTACAGAGATGCTGACCGAAAATACATAAAATGCGCCTGTTAAGTGAGCTGCGAAGTCAGGTGTTCGACCAAATTAGCTTTGTTAGTCAATTAGATTGAACTCAACAGAAAATCAACCTCACATGTTACTGCCTATAATTGGTTCTGGTGAAGTTCTAAGTACCTACGTAAGACTGTCTTTGTTTCATGTTTTTCAAAGAACAACCCATAACCTATAAATGAAGTAACCTTTTTATTATTATTGTTTTTCGTTCGTCCTATTGGAGAAACCTTTTTTTTTTTTTCTATCCCAACTAACAAATATCAGCCCTCCTTGGCCCTACTATCGAGTATGTCTATATAAGCCCAATCGACCAAAATTCGTGATCTCAAAACAAAATGCAGATATACCATTTAGGACTTTGAAATAGAAAGCCTGTTCAAATAACCGTTCATACTACGAGTAAGGACGCAGAGCTCATCCACCTTAAAAATGTGACGTAATGATAGATTAGTATGTCCCAATGTCACCACGGTAACGAACATATAGTGGTGAGCCTTCCTGCAATTTCCAGCACATGAACAATGTCCTGTTAGGACGCTTTCTTTTCATCGTTTTTACGTGGGGTGTGTGTGTGTCAGTGGCACCACAACAACAACAACAATAACAAACGGCACGAAGCCCGTGTTATTTATAAGCTACAGATGGTAGTCATTTAAATCTTATAACATCTGATAATACATTGTAGATAAGGATTACACTCTCAAAATATGTCGTTATTGAGCATGTAGGGGCTGCCACGGAGGTTCGCAAGCGTCCATATCTTCGACATACTTTGCAGCAACGATTCAATATTTACATAGATTACGTACGTAATCTTAGAATCGTAGAAAAAAATGCCTATTTTGTCATAGGGACTGCGGTCGTTCATAGTTACGTTGATTCCGCTATTTAACCAGTTTTTTTACAGATGAGCTATTTAACCCGTTATGTAGAATTCTTATTTAATTTTATCTAAACATTGTGATAAACGGAGTTTAAAAAAATAATGCTAGGAGTAATAAGCCAATAATGCAATCTACCAATTTTAAGTCCAACAATAAAATCAATATTTGATTGCATTAAGGATCAGAACACAAATCTGCGTTACGGAAGGCCTCGTGGACCCCGAACGATATGTCACCTCAGACGGAATGAGCTTTGTGTTTCCTGAACGATGCAATTATGTTTGTGATTCTAGTCGGCCTGCTAAGGAGCAAAAGCTTACGAATAGGCCCTGCAGTTTATTACGCGTCTCGAGTTATTACTGCCTAATGGATTAGTAACATCGCTGCCTCGTCTCTTCATATTCGTACGTAACAGATTTATGTAGGACATTTTAAAAAAATACAGGACAAGGTTAAAGTGAGCTCAGTCGATTGGCGATATCTTTTTCTTGTTTTTTCTTATAGAGCTTTATCTGAATTCAAAATAAAATTAACAGCTTATATTTAGCGACAATGACGCATTTCTACGATGAAACAACTTTAACAGTTAAGTATCGACTTTCAACTGACCGCTGCAGCAGAACTAGATATAACCAGTGAATTCTTCCTTTCTTCACTTCCTGAGTTTTTTCGTGTGACTTAACAACCTTCCAAAGGTTGAAAAAATGTTCCAAGATCTAGTTCCGGCTCCACCGTTAGGTAATGCCTTTAATCGGGCAAAGCGTGTTTACGCCTGATGTTAAACCTAATCCCGAACTTTTGTGGGCGAACACGTTGCTACTGCGCTATCACGACGACCCAGAAATCTCTTTGTTTTCCAGCCATGCTGGGGAAAATAACTATATCATTCATACATAACTGGCTCTGTTTCCAAAAGAAAAATGTATAGCACATACAGATACATCTGTTTATGTATAAAAGGAACAATAATCTTTTTTTTTTCTAAATGTGCACACTTCATAAAGAAGTAATTAAATTGAGTAATTAGATAAATGATTATTCTCATAAGAACATCTTGCCTACACATGATATAAAAAAGTAAATAATATTTTGACAAATCTAGTGCTTTAGATTACTTCAGGAACAATGCCGAAACTACTGCCAGATAAGCATCCGACCCTGGCATCAAATTTATATTCTACCATGTTTCTGGTGGTCTTGTTGAGCACAGTTCCAAGCATAGTCAG